AAAAAACAGGTTAGCAATTTCCCCACTTACTCCATTTGTACAGAGCTTCAATTTCCAGTTCTGGGGGGGGAATGAGCCTTTTTTAATAAGTAAGTTTTTATGGGGGTGGTTACAAAACATGCTTCCCTAAACTAAAAGACAAGGGGGTCCTATTAAATGGCCTCTCCCAGGTGGTCTATTAGTTTGGTCAAGGCAAGAAAAAGGTTAACTGAACGATTCGCATAATAACGTTAATAATGAGGTGGCTTTCCTAGGGGAATACTCCAAAACAAAGAGCAATAACATATATGAGTTATGCACCTGGTGGATAGTTCGTGACCATGTCTATGAACTATTTATGGTGTTGCGAATCGGAATGGTAAATCAAAAAAATCATTTCCTTGGGGAACGTGTCCCTCCACACAAGGGATCATTTCATTCTGTTCCCCCTGTTCCAATGGCACAACAACTTATGCATGTTTTTATGCAATATTTTATGCATAATTTTTTTGTCATTAAAAAGATTCATGCGGAGTAGCTGCATGCTTCTGATTTGTATGTGTAGAAGTAGGTGCGGATGTAGATGCCAATGTAGGCGTGGATGTACATGTGTATATTGACGGGACGAGGCGTAGCCAAACTGACAAGGAATCGTCATGGTTTGAAATGTGCAGTCGAAGATACGCAATTAAGAAAGACAATTCAACATACAATAGAAGTGCGCCACGAAAGAAGAAACATCAGCGCATATGTACATGTACGTCCTGGACATTCCCTTGAGGGATAAAAAATAAATAAAATAAAGAGTTCGCGTAACGGTAAGAATTCTTTACGTATTCATAAGAGTGCCATTTTGGTAACAGTAGTGGTGTGGAGTGGTTCTCATCAGCGGCCTTAAGTGGGGGAACAGCCTCGTACCGAAGGCCCACATTAATACAAAATGTGGGGAGTGCCCAAGGTGTGCCTTTAAATTGTGCTTGTGGCATTGCCCCTTGAGGGAAATACTCGGGTACTTGGTAATATGGTGTTTTTTTTTTCTAAGCCTATCATATTGCACATCAGCTTCAGCTTTTAATAGTGTACATATAGCACACATTGTACATCCATCTTCTAGCAAGAGAACCCAATTGGTATCCCTCAGAAGAGGATTCCCTTTTGGGGGATTTTTTTTTTATTTTCCCATTGATTGATCTTGTTCAGCAGTTCTGTTCATTCACGCAGTTGGGCAAATGGCCAGTTGCACAGTTGAACTAGTATCCGGATGTCGCATAAGAAAATCACATACTCACAAAAAAAAAAAAAAAAAAGAGGTAATAAAATGAAAAAATAAATAGAAGTAAAAACATGGAGTAGAGGGAACTCCAGGCGGCTAATTACTCATGGACATCATTGCTGGGGGCTCGAAACTAATGGGTTGCTTGGAGTAATTCTTCCACTTCTTCTCATTAATCCACTTGTTGATGTAGGATTCCATACACTTGTTAAACAAAATGTAATTGTTCTTTTTCCATTCAGCTAATTTCTGGTCTTCACTATCAAGGAATTGTTTGTCTTTCTTTTCTACCCAGGCGGTCCATTCTTCGGTTTCTTTGGAGAGTCGGTCTTTCCATTGGGTCCATTTTTTCCTTTCATTTATAGAGAGCCACTTGGACCATTTATTTTTTTCCCAAGCATCCCAATGTTTGTCTTCCTTACATTTCCAGTCTCTCATTATCCACTCCATAATTTTGTCATTTTTCCATGTAATCCATTCCTTCATCATCAGGACATCTACATAGGATTCACTTTCTGCGATCCAGTCATTCCAATGGTTTTCCATCACTTGCTTTGCTTCAGTCCTTATCCAATTTTCCCACTGTTCATCTGACCATTTTGCGGCATTTTTATAAATGGGGGAGTAGTATTCTGAAACCATTTTTTCGGTATAGTGATTCCATTTTTCTTCCATGGATTTTATCCATTCCTCCGATTCGAGTTGTCTTTGAAGCAGCCATTGATCTTTTTTGTGTTCTAAAGAGGTTGTGAATATTTCTGCATCTTTGTCTAACTGCGTCATCCATACTTTCCACTCTTTTGCTTTCCACTCTTCCGACTTGGTGTTATCCTCTTCCTTTTCTTTGCTGATCAACTCTTTTGGGGGCTCATCTTTCTTTTTGATTTTTTTTTTTGCGGGCTGATCAAGGGGTAGGAGGGGCGAATGTGTAGAAACAGAGGTGGAGCAATAGGGTTGACACGTAAAAAGGCACAAACGTTGGGGGTAATCCTTCTACGCGCCGGTACAAACGACTCCACATATATACACTCGTTTTAGGCTAATTGGATGGGTGCAAAAACAAAAAAGAACAAAAAAAAGAAGGCTCCACATGCATTATTATATTCCTTATTTTTCTGCCATTCTTCTTTTTCCCTTACCGAATTGACGTATGTTAAAAAAATGTAGCTAGCTAAAGAGAGTCCTATAAAACTTGTACCAATAATGAGGAACTCACTCCTAACATTAGCTAAGAAACTATCCCTGTACCTTTCGGAAATTGTGTTGAGAAAGGATGTAATCGCATTGGGTTCTGATTGGTCTTCTACTTCCATATTTCTGTTACATCTAAATGGAAGAATGAAAATTGTTCAGACACCTAGGGGAGCTCTAGGGACAAAAAAAAAACAATGAAAAATGAAATAAAATATAATATGGTATAATATAAAGAAAGATAAAAAAATATAACAAAAATAAAATATAATACAAAAAAATAAAATAAGAGTTTTCTTCTTTATAAGTGAGCACAAACGTTGTGCCAAATTTTCATCAATTTCTGACAAAAGAGAGAAAGTAAAAATAAGTGGTGAATAAACATTTACGGCTAATGGAATTAAGCAAAGATTAGGCTAAAAGAGGTTACAATAAAAAAAAAAAAGGAAGGAGCAGGATCAGAAGCAAGAGCATGGGTCAGGCGCGGATCAGGCGCAGGATCACGAGCAGGAATCATAAGCAGGAGGAGAAGCGGAATCAGAACGACAGCAAAATTGTAACTAGAATTGGAAGAGAATACAAGTATAGGTTAGGCCTGCAGATATCATGCACCGGTTTAAAAATATTTTTTTGCAAAATCGATGCTGTAGCAATTATTTTCAGGTGAGCATTTATTTTTGCCTAAAAAGGAATGGCGTGGTCAAAAGAACTGCCCTTCAATACTATACCTCCCTTTCTCCGAAAGATGGCTTCCTGTATACAGATGCGAACATTTGAAGTTTTTTGTGCCATATCTCCTTTGGTTGAAGTACTTCCCTCGTTTTAGTAGCAGCGATTCGGATTAGTTAAAAAAAAAGGAAAAATAGATAAATAAAAAAAATAATAATAAGCTAAAGAAAAAAAAAATCATAATAAAATAAAAAAAAGAAAAAAAATAAAGAAAAAAAATAAAGAAAAAAAATAAAGAAAAAAATAAAGAAGAATAACAACCGGACGAACGGCGCGCGAAGGGATTATAAACATTGCATATTTGCATTTCCTATGAACCCATTTTAGCGCATTGTTTGGAGCATTACGCGGGGTGACAGATTAGTCGAAATTTGAACTTCTAGGATAGAACCGGCGTGAATCGTTAGGCAGGTTCTCTTCCCGTGACATATTTATCAATCCATAGGATCAGTACATACCGCTGAGTGGCACGGTTTTGTATCTAAATGGGCGGAGGACATTTCTTAGGTGGAATCCATGTGATATTTAATCCCTTGTACGAGATGGGACGATGTCATGTCCTATTAGAAATTTTCCTTGCAAACTGTTCTGTTATTTATGTAAAGAAAAGGAGGCCAACCATGGAAACGTATGTGGTGGTGAACTGTTCAGACGTAAAATATTGCGTTTGAAGTTCTTCACAATTGGGATTTGCTATGTCAGGATAGCCTAGTAACAAAGGGGAAAAATTTATGCTGAGCCTACTGAAAACGTAATTCTTTTTGTTCTATTCTGCTATGTTTCATTATAAACCTTTTGATGAATCGGAAATTGCAGAACAGTCTACTCACCTTAAGCCATACTTGTTCCCAGGCTCCTTTTCCAAAGAATTATTGACCGGTCCGAAGGGGAAAAGATATGTACAAATATTTTCTCCTTAGAATTTGCACCTTTTTCAAAAAAAAGAAAAAAAAATGCAAAAAATTTTCTATAACGAGTGATATAGACTAATTTGGGAGATATTTCCCCATAAACGTTCAATGGCGCAGCTGAGAACAAGCGTTCGACATGTTTGCCTTGAGTATGTCCATAGGGGAATGGCTCAAAATATAGAAAAATAATTGACATAGCATTTGTAATGACCAGTTAGTTTTAGTAAGAAAAGGGGAATTTAGGGGGGGGAGAGGGAGTACATTTTATCCATATCATATGTGTACTTAATTTGAGATAAAAAGAAAAAAAAAAAAATTAAAAAATTGACAGAAAGAATTAGGGTTAGGGTGAAAAGAGCGGTATTACAGGTGTGTATGTTCTACATCTGAGCAAGTGCATACACGTGGGCAAATGCATGCACGCGTGCTTACAGGAAGATGCAATTTCAAACAGATGAGGTACTGATGAAAAGGCAATTTTGACAAATACATTTTTACAAAAAGTTTGGAATATAACACAGCAGACGTGTTCACAAAAGAGGAGGAGAGGGGTCGTATCATTTTTTGTGAAAGCGTCACATCGGTAGAGAATTAATTAGGTTAATGAAATAGATTCTGGACCGCTGGTCCTGTTCTCATACTACATGTTGCATTTTGCATAGCAACGGTTTGTAATGTGCTTAGTTTTGATGGGCCCTTGTACGTGCATGAGGAAGGGAGAGCATATCTTTGAAATATGTCTTGTGCGGTCAATCAGTTTGGGGCATTCCAAAGAACTGGCTACTCTTCCTTCATTTCCGCACGTCGAATATTTGTTCTCGCGTTAGTTCCACACTCGGCAGCGTCACGATTAAGATAACTCATGGGGGTTATGGAAAAGGGGCAAATTTTAAGAGTCTTTTCGCTTTTTCCGTTTCCCACGCTATTTTGAAGAACCCTTGGGGGTCAAAATACAATTAGCTGGAGAGAGACCAAAAAATGGAGAAGCCAAGTCAGGCAAAGCAAAGTGAGCTGAAGCGAAGTAATAATGGTAAAAGTTCCTAGTAATGATGTCGAGGATGTTGACAGTGCACACCCCTCAGATTGGCTCTATCGTCCTCATCCTCGGGTCCTCTGAAATGCCCATTGGATACTTTTCCTGCGGAATCACTCGGTGCCTATCCTGAACCCAGGGAATCCACTGCTTCTCTGCGATCCACTTTGTGACAAAGGACTTACTCAGCTCTTAGAGCAAGTTGTACTTGCCTGTCTTCCACTGGACCCATAGATCCCATTCATGACTTTTCATGTATGCATTTTCCTTTCCGATGACCCAATCGTCCCACTAGTTGGACTCTCTATTAATTCTTTCCTTCCATTTGAGCCAATTTTTTCGGATCACTCTAAATAGGGACTTGACCCACTTTCTCCTTGTCATTGTTTCCCAATATGCGTCTTCATTGCGCTTCCAGTTTTTGGATAACCATTCCGCAATTTTGTTGTTCTTCCATTCAGTCCATTCATTCATAACCCATGTATTTAAATGTTGTTCATTTTCGTCGACCCAGTTAGACCATTCTTCGTCGATAAAACTTTTTATCTCAGCCTTCACTCACTCTTCCCAGTGGGACACATTCCATGTAGGAGATATTTTGAGGATATAAGATTTATATGCAATATCTAGATGCTCATTGTAAAGATTCCACTTGTGTTCGATTTGTTTCTGGAATTCTTCCCAGGGGGGCATTCTCTCTTCGAGGCATTTTTCTTTTTTATCGTTAATGGAGTTGTCAAAATCCTTCCAGTCTAATTCTACGCGGGTCATTCAATTAATCCACGCATAGCTTTTTAGGTCCTCTGATTTTTTTATCAACTTTTGGTCGAAGTGCACCTCTCCCATGGATTCGTACATGTGCTTTCTTTTCTTTTTAGTGGACTGCAAAAAAAGGGGGATAAACGGGAGAAACCGTTTAAAATGTAAAGTACGTGAAGTCAGGGGAAACGGGTAGGGATATGTCCCTGTCGCGTTCTAGCTCCACCACGTATTGCCCGGCGTAGGAATTCACGAATTATGATTCCCACGGAGGGGGAATTGGCGCAATTTTTAGGCCTTACCAGGTAAAAAGTCAGGGAGAGGAAAATATAACACGTATATATGAAGAGAGCGATGTATAGAAATGCTATTAAAAAATCCTCGTGAATGTCTGATAAGATGTGGTTCTTGCCCTGTATATTTAACTTCGAAAGGAAGCTGCTTTGGGAGGTACTGTCATTTTGATATTTATTCAGCTCCATTTTATCCTGCTTCGGAGGTTTCCCTCCCTTTTCTGAATTTCTGCACAGTCTGTGGGTAGCCGGATTGATATTTTCCCCTTTCCAATCTGATACTGACAAGGATATCACCTTTTAAGGAAAAATCTGTTCACAAATATTTCCGATGGCTGCTGGTTCCGCATTACCCACTTTTTTTTTCCCGCGCATCCCATTTTGTGTCGAATTAGGAAGAAGTTCTAATGAGCAGAGCCATGATAGTATAGATAGTCAAAACTGTGAGACTGACAGCCGAAGGGGAGGCAGATGAAGAAGGAACCAGAGAACAAGTAACAAAAAAAAGAAAAAAAAATGTAACTCGTATATATTCTGCTTTAGGAGATTTCCAGGAGGATGCAAAGCAAATGTGTAACGAATGCACATGCATAAGGTACACAAAAGGTCACTGTTTAAATTGATTAACGAAAAGTTTGATTTTTCGAAAAGGTGACTTAAAAAAATTACCCATACTGATGCGAAGAAGTTAGCAAATCGGCTGATCGAAAAGTCGTTCAATTTTAACGTGCCTTATTTTTACCCTTCCCCTACAGCTTCCCCCAATTCATCTTTATGAATAAACTTAGGAGAGGAGCCTTAGCGAAGATTGAAAAGAAAAAAAAAGAATGACAATTTGGATAGCTGCTTACATATGCCGTTCGTCATTACTTTTTCGTAACTCGGATGACAGACACATCAAAGTATATAATGTGTATTCTTCTGAGTGGCCCTATATTAAGGCACTGCTTTTTCACAATTTTATTCAATTAAGAAGAATGAAACTAAGAAAAACGTTTGATAAATGTATTTTTGCGTTGATTCTTTATGTATAAGATGACCTACATACTTTTAATGTGTGCATGTATTTTTTTTTCAGTGCACATCTCAAATTACGCATCCTTCCACTCAAAAATGATTGTTAAAAGTGAGAGAGAAGAACAAAAAAAAAAAAAAGGCTTTCATCTGCCATGAGCTTTTATAAGATTGCAAAATTCAACATTAAAATTGGGGACCCCTTTTTTTTAGTATTATTATTTTTTCTTTTTTCTTTTTTCTAATTTGTTTCTTCTTATAGTATTGTTATGGAAAAAGAATTAGTCTAATTCGGGAGAGTTTTTTTTTCTCCCTCCCATGTGCATATATTTACCCATTCTTCAATTTCTTTCTTCTCTTTTTTTTTTCCGTCGCATGTGTATATATTAACTCAGTTGTGCTTTTTTTTTTCCTTTTTTTTTTTTTTTTTTTTTTTCCCTGCCCTGTTTTTAATTTTACCCCATTTTTGTTTTTTTTTTCCTTTTTTTTTTTTTTTTTATTTTCCCGAAGCCTGTACCAATTTACCGCATTTTTTGGCTTCTTATGTTATATGTGTTTTTTTTTGGGCCTACCATTTTTTGAGAACTCTTCTCTCAGGAAGGGAAACGCTTTGTGTGTAAAATGTTGATCAGCTTGTTGACGCGTTCGCTGAAAAAAAGGCAGAAAAATTGCGAACATGAATACCTATATGTATACGTATATATATACGTATATGTATATTTATGTATGTATGCTGGCTTAGCATAACCCTAGTGAAAATTTGGCGTCTTCCCATTGAGTGTAAAAACGGTGGGATTTCTTTTAGATGCATTCTCGCGAAGGGGAAATGGGCCAAAGGTGGAGAAATCTTAGGAAGGCCAGATGAATTGATGAGATGTAATCAGAAAGATGTGAAAATGCCGTATCTGGGGAGAAGCAAACAAGGACTGTTACGCGGCATGTGTATGATGGTCAGGAGGTTCATTTTAAAGAAATAGACACACTATAAGAAGTTAAAAGTGTACCTCGTTACATTATCATTAATATTAAAGAGTGACTCAATATGTTCTGCCCCTTCACATGAAACATAGGGCTGATATAGATATGCCCCTTTTTCTTCCTTTTCGCCGTGATTAGCGCATTGTGGCATTTTCCTTATCTGCGTTGCTTAACTATTAAAAAAAGTTCTGTAATGATAATGGGGAGAAATATGTATATGTGCAGTATGTATTTACCAAATTTGATAAAAACAAGAGAAATTAGGTAAATGTGTTTTCGGGTGCATTTCATTTGCTTGATGGTGAATGATCGCAGTTGTAAAAGAGAAGCGCATGACAGAAACAACAAAAGGTGAGTTTTTGTATATGCTGATCTGACCATAAAGGAGATAAATCAAAAGATTGTAGCCTGAAACTTAACCCATGTCGTAGGCTTACTTCTTCAAACAGATGGCACAGAAAAAAAAAGAAGAATCCGCCTTGGCACATTTCATCCCTCATTTTTAATTCGTGCCGATTATGACGCTAGACTGCTACATCCCGCGTAAAAGCCGAACTCTGCAGGGCGCAAACTATTTTTCTTGTCTGCTCTGGGGAAGGGAACATATTATTGTAATATTCAGATAAGTTCCCTACCGCACCTATTCTTAAAGTTCAAAGAAGGGTAAGAAATTATTTCCATAAAATGTATGTACCGAAACAGCGTCATGATTAATAGGAAGGTAACTACATACAAGATAACTTATATTTGGAATCTTTTTCTTTTTTTTTGGGAGGAGGGTGGGAGGAAATGTTGTTGGGGCATATACAGAGAGGAAGTATAGTATATTTATTTGTATTACGTTCATATCCAATATCACATTTGTATTTGCACTTGTACATGATAACGCACATGGGCTTACAGATATGTATAATCACAGAGACAAACGAGGAACATCATTTAAGAAAAAGAGAAAATGAAAAAAAGAATAGACGATTTCTCCACGCACAAAAACGTGGGCTGCATAAAACAAAGGCAGAAAGAATAGTAAGTTGCACTTGAATATATATGTAGCTATGAACCAATCGTAAAGACATCGATTTGGGAATATGCTTAATTCGGCCTGTTGAGCCATATTTGTAACTGCGATGCAACTTTAGGTGAGTTGGTTGCTTTGGCTGCATATCAGTGTATTCTTTCCGCTTTCTGGGTATTACCATTACTATTACTGTTACTATTACGATTAGTGTTACTGTTACTATTACTATTAGTGTTAGTATTACTATTGCTATTACAATTACCATTGCTACTGATATTATTATTGCTGTTTCTATTATTATTGTGTTTTTGCCTTTTAAAGCCTCAGGAAATCGTTACAGTCCCGTTTTGGAACGTATTCCCTCAGTGGTGTCATCTCATGGGGGTCGATCTAATGTTTGATAAAAATGTACTTCGCAATGATGGAACATGTGGTCTAATTCAGAGTGAACAGATAGGCAAGAATGGAAAAAGAGGTTATCCTTCCCTATAAGTGTTTTCTTTTCTTTTTTTTGTTCTTCTTCTCCTTTTCCTTCCATTTTAGCTTTCTCACTTATGGTGGACCCTGTTGTGCAGCGGATAATGTGTGCATTTGACAGCACAGAAAGGCGCGTCAAGCGAAAATTATTCATTTTGACGACTTTCCCTTTTTTGAGTGTGACTAATTTTTTTTATTTGATGCAGCTTTCGCTTTTGCGGCTAGGTCTCTTCTTTCATTTACCCACACGGTCCACTGTTTCTTGTTTATCCAATTGGTGGTAAAGGACTCAGCCCATTGGTTGTACAGAAGGATCTTTTCGTCCCTCCATTTTACCCACTGGTCTACAATGTTGGTAAGGAAAATACTATCTTTCGTTTTTACCCAATCGAACCATTCGTCCCATTCGTCTCTGGTTCTCTCTTTAAAAACTTTATAGTTTTTTTTCTCAGAAAATTGAAATAATTTGGAAGACCATGACTTATCTTCAAACTCTTCCCAGTGTTCTTCTTCTGCTCGTCTCCAGTCAGACATTAACCAGTCCACGATTCTGTCTTTTTTCCATTGAATCCATCTCTTGACAATTAATTCGTCTGGAGGAAATTTCTCTTGGAAAAACCATTTCTTCAATTCAATATCGAGGTATAGTCTTCCTTCCGTTTTGATCCATTCTCTCCACTGAGGCTCAGTCCAATTTATGGACCTCTTCATCATATTGCTGTGAAATTCTTTATCCATGTTAGGGTTAAAGTGGGTCCATTTTTTCTCTATCGATTTTAACCATGTGTTCCATTCTTCCTCTTTTTCTTCTATAAGTTTATTATTTTCATTTTCTAGCTGTTCGTTGAATATTTCCCAGTCTTGTTCCAATTTCTTCATCCAGTTCTTCCATTCCTTTTGTTTCCACTCTTCGGATTTTTCTGGGAATTCTTTTTTATTTTTGGTCTCCTCCTCATTGGATTCGTCTTCTCCTAGGATGTCAAGGGAATCTCCATTCTAACAGCGGGAAAGGGACGGGGGCATATATATATAAGTAACCATGCATACAGGCAGCTTAATACTCACAAGCGGAAAGAGTATAGAGGAGTGCTGTAACCCCCCCCTTGCACATGTACATTTTTTTTTTTTATCTTACCTTCACAATAACGCCAGAGACAACGCCTGATGTTAGAGCAACCATCATGATACCCAAGGTTAAGGTCATCTGGTCCTTATCCATATTTAGGATATTATGTTTCCACCCCGAGATTGTTTCTTTAACACAAGGGAGACTTAACAGCGAGCTGCAGGTAGTCCTTGCATTGTCCGCAACTTCTGCAACTTGTTCCATGGTGACTATTCTCGGTGGGATAGTTTGGGTAACTGAAGGAAGTGCGCGAAGTGAGCGGTTTAGCAAAGTAGAATAACTTCCCTGAAATAGAAACAAATTCCATAGCCGTATTGGAAAAGAATAAATTTTCATATGGCCTAGTTGCACCTATCTCATTGGCCACTTATTTTTAAATTTCTTACTTAGGGTAAAGGAAAAAGAATAAAATAATGGATTAAGAATGCCGGTGGCGCTAAAGACTTCTTCTCTCTTACGAGATATATGGAAAAAATAAGAGAGAAGACTAAAAGAAATTGGTGATTTTTTCCTTTATTTAAAAAGAAGGAGAAAATTCAAACAACTATGGACAGACAAACGTAGAGAGGGAAGAAGCATTCAAATGGAATCAGATTCTTGTTATTCTAAAAATTGCATTTTCTGACGAATCAATCTACATCAAAAGATTTTATTTTTCTAAAATGGTTCTCATGCGAATGTCAATATAAACATGAATTGAAGCGGGAAAAAAAAAGAGAAAAATATATTCTTTAAACAAAGGACGCGAAGTCGGTAAAAAATAATATGGGAAAAATCTTATTTGTGCAATTTTTGTATTCTACGATTCAATAACAGTGAATAAATAACCGTGAGGAATACCATCGAGATATATAGATACAGAAATAATAATAAATAATACATAAAAACTAAATCGCGAAAAGAGAACACTGTGGATCGACTGACTGCTACCTATTTTGTTGCGTTTATTTTCTTGTTAGTTAACGAAAAGGTTGAATAATTTTAAATTCGACCGGAGCGAAGTACATTAGAAAAAGATGGCCTCATCAGATATGGGATTTATAATTTACAATGCTAAACTATACTTATAGAAGCGTATTTTCGTTGTATGTGACATATAAATAATATGCGCATAAATGCTGCATTATAGACCCTTATGCAAACAAGAAGAAAGGAGTACAAGATATAGCTCAAGCCTGTTCCTGTGCCTAATTTGTTTCAGTTATTTTATGCACGGCGGGGTTAATAAACCTGGCCTTAGCAGCGTGCAGGATGCATCCATTATTTTATTTATATACGCATTTATTTTTACATTATTTTGTATTTTTAATCGTCCCATTTAAGATTATCAAACATAATATTCCTGTGAGACGCAAATAATTTAATTCGTACGTTAGGATGGAATGAAACGAAACGCAGCCACCGTTCAGATGTTAATCTTGTTTTTGCTTTAAATGTACATATTAGAAGAAATTATCGTTTTAGAAGTTTTATCCTTTTTATCGTTCTTGCACTTATTACGAAGCAAAATGACAATTAGAAGTTACCAACAAAAAGAGAAAGAAAGAAAAAAGAAGAAATTGTAATTTTTTTATAAAAAGGGCACGTATGGATACGATCAAATAGAAAATAGTATTTTGTATAACCCCATCCCACGCGATTGATTAAATTATTTGCCGAATTAAACCGAGGCTGAAAGGAACAGGAGGAATTAACGTGACGTGTTCCTTCGTTACCTAGAAAGGGACAAATAGGTAAAAAATGAACGGAAGAAAAAAGGAGTACTCCTAAATTAAGAGATACCGTCCTATATCTGTTCTGTTTTTTCTGTTAAGAGGTACGTTGCTTCTGTTTTTTTTTTTTTTTTAAATCCGTTTTTATAAACTTTCGTTTTACATAGAATCTCGAGCAAAGGGGAGGAGAAACCCTTCACTTAAGCATGTTTTACTTATTTGCAAAAAGTCTGGTCATTAACAGGTTGACATTTTCGCATTCTACTTAAACAAATTCGTACAAAGTTACCCATTCCAGTTTATTTTAAACAGTATGATGATTACCTCGGAATAGTTTTCTTTTGCGTCTGTAAAAAGAAGTATCGTATTATGAAGGTGGAAAAAGGAGGCCAACAGGCCCTGCACAAACATTTTCTGCTCATTTTTGTTAGCAATATGTAATCTGCTCCTTTTAGTGCTTCACCAAGCAGAGTTACGTAAGACAGATAAGTCCATTTCTGTTCTCTTCGTACCCTTATGAATAGAGCATTAAGTACAGGTGTCATGCTTCTGTGTACGGATGTGTTTGCAAAAATGCCTCTTTCTTAAAAAACGGAAAGAATTAATAAATATTCTGCGTCATCTGACCCCCATCATGCGATAGTGAAAAAAAGGGCTAATAAATGGGTATGCGAACACAATAATAGTTGCCATTCCAGTGACGTCGTTTTACAATGTTTGTACTTTTGCTTCCGTTCCTTGGCGTGGCACAGAAAAAAAGAAAAAAAAAAAAAAAAGAGGTTTTCTCCTTCTCCTGCTATTGGGAAGAGTCACATAAAATGATGCTGTGATGAATTGGTGACTCGTAGATGCATACGGTTGAGCATATGCGTCTACGGCACGCGTGTATAATTAGAGTGGACGTATCCACCTGCACATATAATCACATAGATATCAACATACACAATTGGACCGACAGCAGGAATGTAAGATTTAGTGAAGGAAGAAATTTTTCTTCTAAAAAAGAACGTTCCTTGTGTCGTCTCTACCCAGGTGAACTTTTAGAAATGATATGTGTTTTCTCTTTGGGGATTTGTTCAGTGATGAGGCTTTGTTCTACATCTGTCTTTTTCTTTAAGCCGAATGTAACCTGTTCGAATGTGTAACATATTATAATAAGATCTGTACAGATGGGACAGTGTTGTGATTCGCTGTTCAGATAACTCGCTCCAGCTATTCTACTGCTACTTCTAGATCTACGCTGCTCCTTCGGTCGTGCATAAATCATTTCGGTTGTAGCGTGCTTACATTGGTGGTGTGTATTTATATGGGTGTGTGTGGGATGGTAACTTCTCAAATTGAAAAATGGGAAGGTAACCAAACTGCGAAATTGGCCAAACACCAAATTAGGAGAATATCCAAGAGAGAAATTCAAAAATTAAGCAACTGACCAATGAACCATTTAGTGATTTCTGTTTCCCTCGCTCCAGGTATTGCACATCTTTCACCATGCTGGGATACGCGGCTCTCCTCTTTTCTATAAGCTCAGTCCTCTCCTTAAGCCATACGTTCCACTGTTTGCTCTTGATTAACCTCTTTACGAGGCCATCCTTCGAGTCATCAAAGATGATAATTTTATCGGTTTTCTACTCTTGCCACTTATCGACATATTTATTTTTATAGATGTGTTTCTTTGACTGAGCCCAGAGAAGCCATTCTTTCGATTCTTTTTTTATTCTCTTCTTCCATTTAATACAATTTATCCAATCCTTTATGTACAGTCATTTGATCCATTTTTTATCATTTTCCCACTTTTGCCAGTGTTCATCTTCGTTACGTTTCCAGTCAGGGGATTTCCATTTTTCCATTTGTCTAATTGTCCAAGTATCCCATTCTGATTTGAGCCATTCATGGAAGTTTGATCTATTATCAGTGATCCAGTGTTTCCAATCCATCACCAGGAATTCTAACGCATCAGTTTGAAACCAATTTTCCCATTGTGATCCTACCCATTTTAGACCGATCCAGAAAACGTGGGATCGGTATTCAACATAAATGTTGTCGTTATAATGGAGCCACTTTTTTTCTTAAAGTTCTATCCACCTGGTCCACTCCTGTTCTTTCGCGCTGTACCATTTTCTTGGTTTTTCATTATCCATGAGGGCGTTGAAGTTGTTCAAATTGGTTTCCGCTTTTTTTATCCACTCTTTTCATTCGTTTTTTTTCCATTCTTCCGATACCTTTGTGTGGGCCTTTTGGGTGGCAAGTGTGTTCTCCTTTGGGGAGGATTCTGTGTCTGCACTTTGAGGGTCCTGTGCGTGGGCCCTTTGGATGGCTTGTGCGTCTTGATTCGGGGGGACTTTTGCGTCCTTTTTTGTGGAAAGATTTGTATCCTTTTTGTGCTGTATTTCTGTACCCATTTTTTTCTGCTACCCTTGTATCCCCTTTTTGGGTAATATTTGTTCCACATTTAAGGGTCATATCTGCACCTCCTTCTTTTTCCTTCAGCCGTACGGAACCGTTTTTCGAAGTTTCATTTTCGTTCTCACTCACTTGTACAGACTGAGACGTGAGGAAAAGCGAAAGAGGAGCATGTAGTCGCACAGCAATATGCACGTATACGTGTATGCATTTGTGTATATGGCGAAGGGTTCACTTCCATTCTTTCCGTTGCTATACTGAAGCGCAAGCAAGAATTGCACGTTTCTGTGTTTGTCGTTTTGCTTCTTGAAATTTTTTTTTTCTCACTGAAGAAACATTATTCAGAAGGAAAAGCGAGTATATAATGTATAAACCGAGAGACGTACATGAAACCATGAAGAATGCATCCTTAGTAATGGAATCATTAAGGGTTTATTAAATTATCATGGATATATAAATTAGTACTGTAGGTAATCACTCGTTTGCATAGGGATGATAAATATATGATGTGCTGGATGCGTCCGAATGCTTTTCGTTTATTTGTTTATCGATTGATCTTTCCAGCAGTGAAGAAGTTGATATGTCCATTTAATGAAAAAAAAAAAAAAAAAAAGAAATCTAAGCGATGATGGGATGAAATGAGAAAAAGACGGCACTCTCTCATTCATATGATAAAAATAAATATAGAGAAGGAGAAGAGAAAAATAAAATTCATAAAGGGGCTTGGAGTTTAAAAAAAAATATTAGAAATGGCAGTTTTTTACAAATTTAGGAGAAAGTAATATTTTTCATTACTTTTTTGCCCCTTTTATTTTTCGTCCAATTTTAATACCAATTAGGCCCAAATGAATGCGCCAAAAAATCATTTTGGGGGTCTATCGAACGCTGGTTATATTTTTTTTTTTCACGAAGTTATGTATATTTTTAAAATGGATGGATGATAGCATATTTTCTTTTTCTTTCCATTTTTTCTACTTCCTAATGATAGAATTTCTCTTCCTTTCCTAAATGGGCGCATAGAAATAAAGACGAATGGACATTTCCCGTACGAATAATTCCTGCGGATAGTCCTAATCTGTGGTGGCTCTGGTTTTTCATGACACATCACCACTCCTAATTCGTTTACGGATTCGTTCTTTAATAAGTATGTTTCAATGGCTTCCTTTTTTCATTGTCCCTCCTTTTTTGATTTTTCTGGTATCTATTAATACATCGCAAGGATTATCAGAAGGGGCATAAATTCTTCTGTTTTTCCCCCAAGGAGATCGCCACAGTAAAAACGTAAAACACACTACTTTATCTTCGTGACGTTTGAAATTTTTGAATCATGTTCCACCTACGATTCGGCATAGATGTAGACGCATTAGCAAATAAAAGCCCATGTTCGTTATGCGTACGTACAATATTTTTGTAACGCTTCTTGAACACTCCAATTCATGATTACATCATTCTAACAGATCTGTACGAAGTGGGGGATGTACTGAGAAGTAATCTTAATTTAAGAAGTGCAGCTGAGGATAAAATTTCTCATAAAGAAAAAAGTTCGGGTGATCTCTTATCTTAAAGAGTATGTAAATATCAGTAGAGAATATCTGTCTGCTCATGCATACCGGTTTTACATGAAACACTGATAGCACGTATGATGATTTTTGTGGGTGTTTAGAAAAGAAAAAAAATTACTTCATTTAACTTGCAATGTAGCAACCATTATAAGTGAAAAGCCCTTTACCTTTTACCAGTTGACCAAATGATTGCAGAATTAGGGATGCAACTGTTTAGTGATTCCACAAGGAGGTAATATGATGTAGAGCGTGACCTGAAATGATGCCCATTTTCTGATGCCTCCTGGGAGGTCTAACAAGTTTCCTCAATCTTGAAATGATGCTGAGGGGTTTAAAGAAATGGCAAATATGGAGAAATGTTATAAGTGGGAAAAGTTACAAAAACGAAATGATAGCTAGAATTAACCATGAACGAGGAAAGGTATGTGTCCACAGCGGAAGTGCTGAAAGGACCAGTAGGCGCGTGCACAAACCTCGTCCTTTTGTGCATACAATTCTAATTAGAGAAAAAAGGAAAGCGATGAATTCTGTTTTGATATAACAAGTGTTTTCTTAAGCCGATATATTCTTAGCATAGAAAAGGAAAGTTACATTGGCAAAATAATATAAAAAGAAGGGAAAAGCAGAATTCTTTATGACAAGCATGTTTAAATATATCTACAAACATTCGCATAAGAGACAGATGGGAGTGAAAAGAGGCACCAGTAAAATTTTACATAACAACCCCTATTTTGTCGGGCTCATTTTGAAGGCACATGAGGAACGGGAAACAGCGTATGCGTACCATAAATTTACACATGAAACACAACATGATCTTAAAGGAATAATAATAACACTTCACTTGCAAAAAAAAAAAAAAAAGAGAAGAAAAACTCTTTCCTGTGTCGGAAGTTTTTTCTTGAATTAATGTTCATATTTGAAGCATAGGCCAATTTAAGTAGTTAAATGTGTGTGTAAATATACTTCAGCATTTGTTATAGTAAGAGCTTTTTTACAACAGGCATATTTCAACTATAGGAATAGGACGAATAAAGTATTACTCACAAAAAATAATTTATAACATATTCTTATTTTCCTGTGCATTCGATAAATTTGAAATGTAAAGAAAAAAAAAAAAAAGAGAGAGAAAAAAAAGGAGACATTTAAGAATGAATAATCATTTTAAAAATTAATATTTTCCATGTGGTAATAATAATTTTTAGTTAAAAAAAATTAAAGAAGTACAAACAATCATTTAGAAAAGGAAATATTGATGGAAAGTGTTTTATGTAAAGAAAAAAAAGCGTATATTACTGTGTAGAAATGTCAATTTAGGAATGTCCATCTGGTATATTTTTAAAGAATTAATTTAGTGTTTCGCATTTGTTTCAACATTAGACGATTATGAACTTGTATTTTATTTTTATCCTTTCCCCTCTTTCACTGGGGGGGGCACCTCCTCCTTTTTTTTTTGACTCAACTTGGCGGAGAAATGGAAGCAAATATAAATAAAGAAGAAAAATAAAAGTATTCCATTTTCTCTTTTACAGTTATTTTGTACAGATTTATATGCAGTTCTTACACTAACATCTACTTATTTCGAGTGTGTCTTTTCTTCTATACTTGAAAGGGTAAGGCAAATATAATCCGCTAGCAATTTCTTCTTGTTTCATTTGCGAGAGGCACGAAAGCGTCCTAAATGTTCCCTTGGACTACTGTAATTTTCTACACGCTAAAATTAGTTAAAAAGTTGTTCGGATTTTTCAGAACCATCGGGTCCACTGCTTCTGGGCGATTAATTTGTTAGTGAATGCAGCTAGCCATTTGTCGAAGGCAGCAGTTTTATCATTCTTCCATTTGGTCCATGCAGGAGTGTCCTTGAAGATAACGCTCTTTTCTATTTTATCGGTCCATTTTTTCCATTGGTCTGCTTCCGCCCCTTTTCGTACGTTCCAGTTTTCATAAAGTGCTTTATATTCTTCAGGAACTGTAATATCATCCTTGTTTGGACAGTGGAAGAGCCATCTCATCCATTGCTTATCCTCCCCTAATCTCCAGCGTATTGAATTGCATTCTAGCATTTGTTGTTTTTTCCATGTTTCCCAGTTTACACGAAGAGCTGCATTTAAGTTATTTTGGTGGTCGTTAATCCATTTTTTAAAATCGTCCGTAATATATTTCTTTAAACTTTTTTCAATCCATTCTTTCCATTGAGTCTCTTTCCATTCTTTTGCTTTTTTTAATATATTGCTTTTGTATTCCATATCCAGACTTTCGTTATAGTTGTTCCATTTTTTCTCTGCGCTTTGGAACCATCCTGTTTCTGAATCTCCCAAATTTTCAATCCATTGTGTTCTTCCATCTTCAAGAACAAGGTGAAATTCCTTCCAGTTCTCTTCGGCTTTCTTTAGCCATTTGGAAAATTCATTCAACTTCCATTCGAGTGGTCTGAATCTCCATTCCTCTACGAATTCGTTTGGGTCAGGTGCGGTAACTACTGCAGGAGGTTCGGGTTCCTTGACGACTTCGGTAGTGACAGGTTCTGTGGGTTTTCCTGCTCTAATTTCGGCAACCTTAAGAGGTAGAAAAATGGAAACATAAAAATTTATACTGAGTCATTACAGGAGTGGATTAAAGATATATAGGCAACTATACGTATAACGGAACATAGGAAAAATGATCTGTGAAGCGCGGTGATGTAGTCAGTGGAGCTTTATCAGTTCCTGTTTCGTACGTGAACGCCAGAATATCTGAGGAGTGCCGAGGATAACACAACAATGCTAAAAGATATGCTGCAAACCATTTTGATCTTGGTTTCCTTAATAGGATGGGTATTTTCAATAGGGGATAAAAAAGGACGAGTAAACACTTTCGTGTTTTTTTTATTCAATAAAAAAAAAAGAAAAAGGAAAAAAAGAGGAAAAAACAGGAAAAGACGGAAAATCAGATAATACAATATAGTATAATAGCACGTAACGTAATATAGAATGTGACGTAATACAATGTAACGGAATATAATACAATGATAATAAATAAATTTGTGGCCAGATTCAAAAAATATTGGGGTCTCGTTACACGGTATAAGAGTAAAAAAAGAAAAAACTAAAATTAAAAATAAATTGGAAAATGTTCGAATAAGTATGTGCTATTTATATGATTAAAACATATTCAGAAAGAATAGACGAAAATTAAAATGTTCTAATAAATAATGTAATGTGTACTGATCAATAATAGATATAGATGCATTTATTTGCCACTCAATGATTGTTTCTAAAGCTCCTATTTGTACAGATTTTACATGTTTAAGAGGAAATTCATCAAATGATAACCGTCATTTAACTAATTATGTCTTGAGGACGAAATTTTGTTACCTTCTTTCTTTCTTCTCTTAAAATTGAGTTGGCAAATTTTTATAAGTTTGTATATCTTTTTATTATATTGTTATTTTATTATTTTTTCCTTAAAAAAAAAGAAATGGAAACAATTGAATAGATTAGCAACTCAGAGAGTAACGACCAATACGATTTATTGTTTTATTATACTACCATAGCCAATATGTTAAATTTAAATAGATTTTTTTTTTTTGGAATTTCTCGTTTCAGCAGTTTCTTTTCTTTTATAAATAATAGGATTTTAGAGGGTAGTAAACATTGCATAAGAGTATAATGAAACCTGGTGGTGGCTTATGGGATACTAAATAAAAAAAGATATATATTATGTACATGTCAAATTTATTTTTTCAGTGTGACAATTCAGGTTACTCCACCGTTTACTCTAGGTATATGTCGTCATTAGAAGGATAGTTTAATGCTAATTGAACGCACCATATATTAAAATATTGCAATTTAAGAAGAAACAACAAAAGGTCTATAACATGAAAATTGATCTCTAAAAATAAGAAAGGAACAAACTCAGGCTAGAGGATTATAACGATGACGTTCATAAAAAATAGTTTTATGCTCTTCGTTTTTTCATTGTCGATGAAATTCCGCATCTTGGAAAAATCTTTCAATATTATTATATTTATAGTATATATCTTGGACTACAATGGGGACATTCTAAAATGGGAAAAAGGAAAAAAAAAAAAAAAGAGGAAGAACTCGGGACTGAGAATAACAATGATAATAAAATGTATAACCTTATGCTCCCTTTCATAAGAGGTAATTTTACAGCGCTTTGCTTTATAATTTCTTTGTTTGTTCTTGATGTTTTCACTTTGGCATCGTCTTATCATTATAGATTTGTTCTTTTGTTTTTTTTTACGTACCATTCCTCTACGCAGAAAGGAAAGAGAAAAAAGAAAAATAATTACGCGGAGAATATTCATTGAATGTAGAAAAAATGGCATTTTTTTTTTTTTTAAGTCAAATTATGGACGTGGTTTGGAGAGTTTTCCAAATTGAGGGCAACATGGTTTGACTTTTATTTAAAATCTTCATCATATAGAATTAATGAAGTGGAAATAGAAATGTCTGTGCAATAGAGGAAATCTGCGTTTTTTTCCCGTTTATTGCAATTTAAGTAAAAAATTATAGTCAACAAGAAGGGACACTTATTTTGTTTACTTACAGGGGAACATTAATATATAGCAATGTGCAGAGTATTATATGCGTTTTGTTAATACATTGTTATTCCGCGTTATGAGTCCTTTTGTTGTACAATAAAGGATTTAATAAAGGGGGGAAAGATTCTTCCAAAAATGTTGAGTAAATGTAAAAACACTACGTATCGTTTTGTTTATTTTGCTTCTCAGTGAATATTGTTCATATTATGTCGACATGAATTAAAATAGGGAATGAATGATGGTTGGGGCGAAATATAGGAAGAAGCAAAAACATACTTTGTACACTGATAGGGGACAGCCCCGATTCAGAACTGTGCAATAACTGTATAAATTATACAATACCATGGGGGGCACTATTTACCAAGGCTTGTAAAGTCCAGTTGGGTTGTTGCCAGACATTTCCAAATAGGTACTTGTCATCGTGACATGTATACAATTTTTTTAGAAGCAAAGGAATTGTCTTATACGAAGATCCTTGGCCTGCCTTGGTTAAATTATTTATTGTGCACAATGCGGATTATTATACCTTTACGAATCTTTTGAATTCAAGGCAAATATAGTATATTCTTGTAGATATATCTACATATGTCCGTATAACGAAGTGATGCTGCGCAGTGCGGGTGCAGTATTTTCGTCGCATTCTATCAGTTATGTAAAAAGTTCGTTTCCTTAAAATAGAAAAAATAACAGACATGTCTTAAAACGATTATTAAAGGGGTGAATGCGGAAGCGTACTAGTGAAGACTTCACTACCTGTCCCCGCATTCGAATGAAAGAGGGAATATACAAAAACGCGGCTGCTCTTTAGGCTCCTATTGTGTGTACGTCTTTTGTAATAGCGGAGGAACCCGTCGCAATGGCATCACCTATAGATTGAAAACCTTGTTCTGAACGTAGAGATTGTTGCCATTCTTTTCTAGATATTAAAGCGTGGGTTAAGCAAACGAATGCTGGAAAGAGCTTAATCAACACGATGTTATTATACAGGTTTTATGTTATCTGTCTTCTTTTCCGTTGATATTGGTGTACATGCCGATAATTTTTTCTTGGCGCCTTCAGTTCGTACGAAGTAAAATATTTTTTTTGAGCGTGCCTATTGAGGATGCATGATTCGCTACCATAAACAGATGCCATTCTAATTTTTGATTCCATAATACACTTGCCAATTCTGGGGGATTCACCAAACAATGAATCGGCAACCCAATCGTTATATAGTTGTCCTCGTTTGCGAAGTACATTTTTCTAGGCATGGGAAAAGAATAATCGTATGCTCAAATTTGTTCCTTTTTAATAGACTCTAAATAACACCGTAAAGAGAACACAACGGACAAGCGCCGGCACGCAGAACTCTCATAGAACCTGTGATTAGCAAAATATGTCATTTTAAAAAAAATAAACCATCGATTTGGGTAATTATAGGCAGAGGAATCAGTATGAAAAAATTTTCATGTTCAGCGTTTTTTTTTTTTTTTTACATAAAATGGATGGGAGCTGCGCTTATAATATGTGCTCTCTCCCACACGATGATAACATGAAGACTCATTCATAATAAAAAAAAAAAGGAAAGTAAAAAAATTGAACGAATCCGGTACAATTTGAACTGACTTCCTACATCTTTTTCGACTTAACCTAATGCTAATAATTACGATACTACAATGCAAGAATAATAACTTTCTTCACATTAGGGGCGGACACAACAATGTAGGTATAAAATATCTAAATATCTGCCATTTGGATTGAACGCTGAAGGGGTGATAAATTGCCATTTTGCACTAGCTTAATGGTATAATAAGGACAAAATTAAGAATTCCTTTTTTCTATGTTAACTATCTATGAGAAGTCCTCTACTTACTACGTGTGTTTTGTGAGCAATTTCCTTCTTTATTTAAGATTGGTTCGAGTAATTAATACCATTTTTGCTGTATTTGCATGACGCATGCTGAACGTCTATGCCAATGGCGTACATACTTAGAAGACAATTTTTGTAGAGCCCCATGTGAATGTTCACTCTTGCGTACATATCAAAATCGTCCGTTATTAAAATATACATTTCTCTGGAGGGAAGCATTTTTTACATCACAAACAAGATAGCACTGTGGGAATAGATGAAAAAACGCTTTTCTTTGACCGCGGAAGGAAGGCAACGTATGTGATACGTTAGGCCCTCATCCTAGTACGTAGCTGTGTTAACCTATAACCGGAAATCTAGAAGCAGTAAAGTGAACGAGACAAAAATTCCATTTTCATAGAAGTGATCACTGGACCTGTTCAAGTAAGGGAAATATTGTGACGAAATTTCAAAAGGGCTGAGATAATAAGGAGGCACTCCATTCTTAGCCTTGATTCAGCAACATCAATCGGGTTATAATTAGAAATAGAACTGGGTAGCAGCGTAATTTCAGTTGCATATCTGATCCCAGAAGAAAGGATCTCCTTTTTTAAGTATCACTATTGTATTAAGTATATGTTTATACTCCTTTAGGGGAGAGCTCCCTTGGCATTATACCAAGTCGCATTTCCTTTATTTTTTGTCCATTTTTGTTAATTACTTGGTTTCCTTTTTCATTTTAGGATGCACTAAATTTTTGTTCTTTTTTTCTCCTTAATGTGCCAGTGTGTACTTATAGATCTATTCTTCCGTGCACACATAACATGGTTCATTTTGTAATTCTGTTTTTAAAACAGTTTTGCAGAGGAGGGCATGTAAGTGATACTCTGCTACATTGACTTTGCGCAGAGCAGTAGGCTTTATTGGTTGCTTCCCATTTTGCTTCTCCGTTTCTAATTTTACGTAGTATTTTTTTTTCTCTTTTACCTTATATAATGGTCGAAAAGGAGTCCCACGATGAAGAAACGCGCTTGAGGGGAAGTCGTCTTGATGGGGCACCAAAGCATGATTCATTTTTTAATAAGGATGGGTTACTATTAAGAA